TGAGGAGATTGGACTAGATGTTTTTTAAAATCCTTTTCAGCTTTAAATCTATGATTCAACAATCCTATGTCATTCTCCTTCCTATTGTCTCTCGGATAAAACACAAACTCCTCTGTCTGGCATTTAAAGCCCTTCACTATTTGGCTCAAATCTCCCTTTCCAGATTGATTTCATGTCACTACCCCCCTCATTCAATGTACTCTATATTCCAGTCAAACTCAGAGATAACAGATGGCCAGGCTGAGTGCTGCTGTGCTGGTACCCATGAAATATTAAAAGGCCTACAGGAAGGCCTCCAGCACATTGAACAGATCCTCTATGGATTGATGAGAAATGGACAAGAATCATAGAGGATAAGAAGGCATGGGTAGGCTATGACCATCACCATTGATGGGAATGTCCACAGGATGCAATGAAGTAATGAACTATTGTCTACTTAAGGAATAAACACAGTTTATATGATGCTATCAGCCAACCAATGAACATTTAATAAATGCCTACTATGTGACAGTCACTATGTCAGGCACTGTGGATACAAAAACAAAAATGAAACAATCTGCTCCCAAGAGAACTTGCATTATATTCATCAAATAAAAATACTCTACTCAATTTGATTCAGGTATAATCAATAATTAGGAAACATCTACTATCACATTCATAAATCTTGGTTTTGTTTTGTACTCCTAGCTGGCAACTAACAAAACTACCCCATTTTCATCCTGTAAATATTAATAATAATGATGGTGATGATTATGATGATATGATGATGATGACTGTAGCATTTATATAATGATTTAAGGTTTGTGAGGCACTTTACAAATATTATCTCATTTGATCCTTACAGCAATCCTCTATTATTATTATCTCCATTTAACAGATAAGGAAACTCAGACAGAGGTTAAGTGACTTTCCCAGGGTCACATAACTAGTCAGTGTTAGAGACATGATTTGAATCTAGGTCTTCCTGATTTCAGGTACCACCTATCTGCCAACATATTCTGTATATACTTAAACATATGTGCATTATCTCTTCCACTAGAATGTATAAGTCCTTTGGAGGGTAAGGACTGTCAGTGAGTCAGTCTTCAGTTTTGTTTTTGTATCATCAATGTTTACCATGGTGCCTGGAACACAGTAAGTATTAATGAAATGTTATTGTCCTTTGTGCTCAGAAAGGAGCAAAATGGCATCGCTATGTCAGGTACAATGTGTTCAACTGGCTGATTAGAGCAGTATGAGCTCAGAAGGCTCCACCATGGATAGGATGCAAATAATCCATATGAACATTTGGAGTAGAGATGTCTCTTAATCTGCACATCTCAAGTTTCTTTTAGCTACTACAATTCTGCTTTGCTCATAGAGTATAGCTCCTTCTTTGATACGGTCATGCCATGCTGGGTGGTACTGTGCCAGTGTCTCCCATGTCTCACAGTCAATTCCAAAGTTCTTCAGAGAGACCTTAAAAGTGTCCTTTCAGTGCTTCTTCTGACCTACATGTGAGTGCTTGGCTTATATGAATTCTCAATAAAATTGTCTTTTAGGGCAAATGTACATTTGGCATTCAAACAACACAGCCAGTCCATCTGAATTGCACTCTCTACAGTAGAGCTTGAATGCTCAAGAAAAAACCTCAGTGTCTGGTATCTTATCTTGCCAGGTGATATTCACAATCTTCCTAAGACAATTGAAATGGAAGCAATTTGATTTCCTGGCATGGCACTGGTAGACTGTTCAGGTTTCATAGGCACACAGCAATGAGGTCAGCACAATGGCTCCATAAACCTTCAGTTCAGTAGGCAGCCTAATACCTCTTCTCTTCCTACACTTTCTTCCAGAGCCTCCCAGACACTGAGCCAGCTCTTAAAATGCATTCATCAACCTCATCATCTATGTGTACATCCCTGGAAAATATACTGCCAAGGTAAGTGGACTTATTCACAGTATTCAAAATTTCTCCATTTGCTATAACCAGTGGTTCCACTTATGGATGGCATGGTGCTGGCTTGTAGACAACCTCTGTTTTCTTAGTGTTAACTGTCAGGCCAAAATTAGCACAAATGTCAGAGAATCAATCCATACTCTGTTGTATCTCAGCCTCAGAGGCTGCATTGAGTACACAGTCATCTACAAACAAAAAGCCATTCACCAACTCTCCTTCGACTTTAATCTTGGCTTGTACCCTTTTCAATTTACCACTAGTATAGTAGTTAAGCTTGATGCAGTTTTTATCCTCATTGAAGGCATCTGACAACATCACAGAAAATTTCATGCTAAAAAGTATGGGAGCAAGCACACAGCTTTGTTTCACTCCATTGGGGGGGTGGGGAAGTGAGACAGCATTGTCCATTATCCTGTGCAAGCATGTCATCATGGAACTGGTACACAAAACTGATGAACTTTTCTAGGCAAACAAATTTCAGCATGATCTTCCACAAAACCTTCATGACTGACAGTACCAAAGGCCTGAGTATGTATTTAATGAACATTGAGTACATACCTCTGGTCTGCTTCTGGCATTTCTCCTGGAGCTGTCAAGCAATAAACATTATGTTGACCATTCCTTGAACCTTTCTGAAGCCACACTGGCTCTCAGGTAGATGACCATCTTCCAGGTGACCTCATTGCTGTGTGCCTATGAAACCTGAACAGTCTACCAGTGCCATGCCAGGAAATCAAATTGCTTCCATTTCAATTGTCTTAGGAAGATTGTGAATATCACCTGGCAAGATAAGATACCAGACATTGAGATTTTTTCTTGAGCATTCAAGCTCTACTGTAGAGAGTGCAACTCAGATGGACTGGCCATGTTGTTTGAATGCCAAATGTACATTTGCCTAAAAGACGATTTTATGGAGAATTCCATCCTATTTAGGAGGTCTCTAGCAAGAATCTTGCCAGCAATGACTAAAAGAGAGAAATCCCACCCCTGTGATTGTCACAAGACAGCCTATTTCCTTTCACTTTACAAGAGATGGAGAATGGAGGCATCCTTGAACTCTTGGGAGATAATCTCCTTTTACCATATAATCCAGATTTCAGTCACCTTTTGTGTGAGAAGTGGACCCTCTGCCTTGTAAATCTCAGCTAGAATAGAAATCAATAACAAACACTTTGCTACACTAGAGGAGTCAAATGGCATTCAAAACCTCTTCTTCAGTTGGAAGTTTGACTAAAGAGAGATTGACTTCAACCTGAAGTACATGCTATATGTCTTCAGCATTGGTTGTCTGTTTCAGCTCCTGTCTCCAGGATCATGTCCATGATCATGTCCATCATCACTAATCAATGTGGCTACATCTGCACTGAGTAGCTGAGATGCACTATTGGTCTTTGGCCCATAAATAGCCTTCAGGGCATCATAAAAGTGCATTGGATTGTTATTATCAGCATGAAACAAATTTCATCTGCCTTCTTACTGAGACAAGAATCCTGTATTTCTTTAAGCTTTGCTTTTGAAGGAGTCAAATGCTGACTTCTTAGAGACAGACAAAGCATCCTTCTGGTAAACCCTGTGGAGTTCTTGTTTTTGTTTCACTTAGCAGCTGCTGAATTTCCACGTCATTTTTGTCAAACCAATCTTGATGTTTGTGAGTGTTCTGACCCAGATGAGTAAATGTGATGCTGTATACCAAATCTTTGAAAGCTGCACATTTCTTTTCTGCTGTCCTGTTGCCAGCCTCTTGTTGGTTCAGCTTCCCCTCCAATTTAGCAACAAAGCGTTTATGCGTGAAACATTTTAATCTGTTGACATCAAGTCTTCTGATAGTTGTCTTGCTTTGGAGCCACCACTTTTGTTGAATGTGAATGTATTCTCCTTACAAATTGTAAGTGCCAGTGTTTGCTGTGAGGGTGAATCCACAAAGATTTATTGCACTTACGTAAATGGACACAGTGATGGTGATGAGACAGTCATGAGATACACAAGTTTTCAGTAGTAAGTGACTGCTGCTGTTGCTGTTTCTAATTCCATTCTTCCCAAGAACTCCCTGCCATATCTAACAGTCTGTGCCTACTCTGACATCCAGAATTACAAGCTTATCCTCTTTTGGCATATTGGTAATGAAGGTGTCCAGGTCTTCTTAAAAATTTTCTTTACCTCATCGAGGTTCTTCATGATGGGAGCATACTCACTGATGGTAGTGGTGTGGCACTTTTCTGCAAGTGACAATCACATTGTCACAAGCCTGTCATTCACTCTTTTTGGGAGATATACAAGCTTGTTGACTAGGTTAGTTTTGATTGTGAAAACCCCAAACGGGGTCACAAACAGTTGGACACAACTGAAACAACTGAACAACAACAACCTCTTCAAAGTATCTTGTATTTATTTATCACTCTATTGCCCTGCTTCCACATATTTGCACAAAACCATCCCCCATATCTGGGTACCCTCTTCAATTCAGTCTCTGAGAATCTTTATCTTTCCTTAAGGTTAAGATAAAATGCCAAGTTCTCCACCAAGCCTTCCAAGGCCTTCTCCAATTTTTAATGTTTGCTGACTCTCCTTCATGATATTTGGTGTTATACTTATCTGTGTATATGTTGTATACCTCCAGTATAATGCATGCTTCTTGAGGCTAGGAAATCTTTTGGTTCTGTCTTTATATGCCTAGAACCTCACTTGGTCCCTTGAACAGAAGACACATTTATTAAATATATGTTGCATTAAACTGAATAGATTAAACACTTACTACCTGGGAGGTACTATGATGGGTATTGGAGGGGGTATACTTTGATGGATCTGCAATCTCATCAATGTGCATACTCTGCCCAGGGATGCAGATCCCAATATAGCCATAATCTCTAATTCTATGCAACTCTTGGACAAGTCCAAGAGTTCTCCACAAGTTCTCCACATGGAGTCTACTCAGCGTGCTGTGAACTTGTCTCTAAATCTCTTAACAGTATGTGAGTACTAAGGGAGTAAGCAATAATGATTGATTATTCCTTATTCTCAATACACAATGCCCACCCTCCTTATTTCCTGGTCATTCATCTCAGATGATCTCCTTCACGGCATTTCTCTTGCATAATTCTTGGTTGATAATGGCTTGTTGCCTGCCCACATGTACCTATCCATTGCCTTTTAGGTGACCCTAAACTCTAATTCTTTGGTGATTATGAAGCTCCATTACTTGCAGCCATACAACATCATCAGAAGAATATTCTTCTTAAAAGATGGGCCTTTATTTCAGGTAGAGAATTTAAAATCACTGGGCAATCACCCCAAAGTACTTGGGACTGCTGTCTTCCAGTTCAACTGGAGATCTGGTTCATTTTCTCTATGCAGTGACTATAAGACACGTGTACTGATTCAACAGTTCTCAGAGTTGTTTCATAACATTGCCTGGACAGTAGGTATTCAGTATCTACTTTTTTCCTTTTGTTTTCCTCTGTAAGAGTTTCTAATGAATTCACTCCATCAATTAAAAATCTCATTTAGGAGGATCTACAATGTTCCAAGTCTGGATAGAGTCATCTAGAAGGAGGTGGAGAGGGTGGTTAGTAAACAGATATAAGACAGTCCTTGCCTTCAAGGAGTTTACAATTTATTTTCAAGGTGCTACTATATTTTATATATTCCACTAGGTTCAGATTATAGCAAATAATAAATCTTGTCAAGTGGTCACATGAATTCAAAATTGCATTATTTAAAGTTAAATAAAATATGGTCATTGGTTCCAGCCCAATGGAAACATACAGTGTAAATTTGAATAATATGATGCCTTCATGGGATTCATTATTTGCACTAATCAGGATCTAGTTGTAATCATTTTAAATCAATTGTGAATTGTAATATGAATAACAATAGCTAGCATATATGTATCATTTTAAGGTTTGCTAAGTATTTCAGTGGATCTTCACAACTCTGTAAGGTAGAGGCTATTATTACCCTTCATTTTATAGATGAGAAAATTAAGGCCAGAGAGAGTGGTCAATTGACTTGTGCAGGGTCACACAATTAGTATCTGACTACCTAACTCCAAGTCCAACACTATTATCTGCTGTACCACTAAGCAGTGTAGTATTATCTTATGCTATCTCAATGACTTGCTTGGTCAACTCCAGTGGGTCCTTGTTATCACAAATCATAGATAAACTCTTCTGTCATTTAGAGCCCTTTACAACCTGGCTTCAACCTAACTTTGAGCTTACGCAACTTTATACAACGTGTCTCAAAAGTCTTACTGAAGTTTTATGTTTAAATAGCCTAACACTGCACTAAGACTTTTGGGACACCAGTATGTAGCTCTCCTTCACACGAACTTCAGATTAGCTAAACTGGTCTTCTTGCTGTTTCTCAAATGTGACACTTCAACTCTTATGTGTATATCTGTGGATATGCTGTTTGCCATGCATTAAATGCACTCCTTTGCTCATCTCTTCCTCATTGAATCTCTACTTTCCTTCAAAGCTTAATTCAAACACTGCTTCTGACATTAGGATTTTCCTGATCCCTCCTCCCCACCACCTGCTAGTGCCCTCCCCCTAAAATTATGTTTCTTTGTTGCTCTCACTAAACCCTAGAACATAGTAAGCCTCCAATACATATTTGTTGATTTGACTTAATTTGGTGACAAACACAACTATGTACTAATTCATGAATGGATACCTATCAATCCATTCTCTCTACTGGCTTTTTAAAAATACCATTATGTACCAATATGTACTCCTTGACCATAGCATCACAGTGTCATAGTATCACAGAATCATAGAATTTGAAAATTAGAAATAACCTCAGTGGCCACCTAGTTTAACTCATATACCAAAGGAATCCCCACTATAACATATCCAATAAATAGTAGTCTAGCCCCTCCTTGCAGGCCTCCAATGAAGGAGAACATAATTACCTTTTCTAAACACCCAACTCTACTCTTGGACAGCTCTAATTGTGAGGAGGTTGGTTTTTTGTTTTGCTTTGTTTTGTTTTGTTTTTAGTGAGGCAATTGGGTTTAAGTGACTTGCCCAGAGTCACACAGCTAGGAAGAGGTTTTTCTTGACTTGCTCTCTACAAGCTTCAATTGTCCTCTCTTAAGATCCACCTACTTGCTCCTGGTTCTGCTTTCTAGAGCCAAACTGAATAGTTCTAGTTTCTCTTCTACATGAAGCTCTTCAAATACTTGAAGATAGCTATGATGTTTCCTCTGAGTTTTATCTTTTCCATGCTAAACATCCCCAGTTTCTTCCACTGATTCTGATATGACATGGTCTTACCATCCTGACTGCCCTCCTTTGCATACTCTTAACTTTTCAGTGTCTTTCTTAAACTATAGCACCCAGCAAGGAACACAGTGTTCTACATAAGATCTGGCAAGGGCAGAGTACAGGGGAACTAACACCCATGAGCTATGCCCCTCTTAAAGAAACTCAATTGTTTTAGCTTTTTTTTCTTCTACAACCCACTGATAATTCATATTAAGCTTGCAGTCCACTAAAACTCCAGAACTTTTTCAGAAGAGTTGCTGTTAACGACATGCCTCCCCAACTTAGACTTATGGAATTGATTTTTTTGGTGCCTAAATGTAAGACTTTACATTTCTTCCTATTGAATTCCACCTTGTCAAATTCAGCCCAGTGCTGTCTAGGCTAAGGTCCTATTATCCATTATGCCAACCATCCTGCCTAGCTTAGTGTCATTCACAAATTTAGTGAGAATATGATATAAACCATTATCTAATCATTGATAAAATTATTGAGTAGCTCTAGACCAAGCACAGATGCCTGGGGTGCTCAACTAGAGAACTACCACATTTACAATGAACCACTAACAGCTTTTCTTTGAGTCCACACAAGCAATCATTTCTAAATTTATTTGATTGCATTGTCAGCTCATTTATATCTTCCATCTTCTCCATGAAAATTGTTTGATATATATTTACCAAAAACTTTGCTAAACTTTATCCACGCCATTTCCCCTTCATTTTCTAACTTAGCAACTGTAAAAGAATAGTAGGAAATAGGGTGAATCTTTTACATGATCTGGTCTTCATGAAATCATACTAACATTTTGTAATCACTATGTCTTTAAAGACTCATTCTAGAATTTTCCCAGAAATTGAAGTCAAAAGCACTGGTCTATCATTTGAAGATTGCTCACTTCCTTTTTAAAAATGTCAGAACATACGTCTTTCTCCAATATTGTAGTTTTTCTCCCATTTCCATATCTTTCCAATATCACTAAAAATAGCTCCTCAAGTATATCTTCTAGTTCACAGTTGGGGAACCTTGGATGAGGCCTTTTGACTGAGTCCAAGTTTTACAGAACAAATCTTTATATTAAGGGGATTTCTTCTGGGAAGTTTAGATTCAGTCAAAGGGCCACACTTAAGGACCTAGAGGGCCACATGTGGTCTTGAGGCTGCAGGTTCCCCACCCCTGCTCTAGTTCTTTCAAGACCTGTGTATGTAATGTAGTTCATCTGAGCCAACATGAATTCACTGATGGCCAAGAGGTGCTCTTGGACTAGCTCCTTACTTATTTTGGGTATCAACTTCCAGTTAGCCATTTTTGTTCTGATGTTTCCAGTGTACAGGTCTTCCATCTTTGCAGAGAAAACAGAAACATGACCTGAATTAAACAGCTCTTCCTTCTATCATTTATCAGCTATTACCATCATCCCATTGATCCCAAGCAAAGGTTGGGACCTTTCTTTGAGCCACATTTTTCTCCCAACATAGGTAAAAGAATTTAGATTCAGTTTCCCCCCTGCTTAACTCTCCTAGGCAGTCTCAGCTCAATTCTGAGGTTTAGTATTTCTGAAAGTAGTTTTACAGGACTATGCCAAACTCATGTTCATTCCCCATTCCCAGTCCCTGCTTCCAACTCCTGTACAATTCTTTTAAAATTCTAAGTTGGAGTGTGAGTTCCCATTACATCATTATCTGTCTCTTCAGGTAAATGACACTCTTCTTATTCACAGGAATTGTTTTCTGTTGTGTCTTCAGAACTTCATTCTTGAGCTTTTCCCATCCTTTCTATGCTGATTTCCCCGGAAGCATTTTAGTCCATGGGATGCTACCTATCTTTCCTCTGAACCCTTTGAAATTAGATTTCCAAAATCTTGGCTGTATATCAGACTATGCCCAGATTTCCCATCTTTCTGTATCACAAACTCAAGAAAGTAATAGCTACTTCTGTTCCCACTCCCAACCCTCAGGTCCCATTATGTTAGTAAGAATCAGATATAAAATAAAAATCCGCTTGTTGCTTCCTCTTCCTTTTGAAGGATGAAATTATTACTAAATAGTGATGTCACCTTTGCATAAAGGGGATAGCATATTAATTCTCCTAATTTGGGACCTATCACAGTACAACACTGCATGTAATTAGGTACTTAATAAAGGCTTGGTGCTGATAATGATGAAGATAATTTATTACCTTTTCTTCATCTTTTCTGATGTGCTCATTGACATTTGCAGATAGATTCATGGGGGCTCTATAGTTTAATGACATATAAAATACATAAATAAAATACAGAGATTCCCTTTTGTAAAGTACAGAGTTTAGTCTAAAACTTTATAATTAAGTATGTCAGTTAGACCTTTGTTAAATGGTTAATTGTATGGCAGGTTTTCCTTGGAACTCAAAAAACCCTATGTCTCATTTCTAAACATAGATACCTAGGAGGCAGTATTGGGCAGTGGAAATAGTGGGCACCTATGTGATATGGTGGATAGAACTCTGTACTTAAAGTCACAAAGACTCAAGTTCAAATCCTGCTTGAGACATTTACTATTTGTATGACCATGGGAAAGTCATTAAACCTCTCTCAGACTCGGTTTCTTCGATTCTGAAATAAAGAAGTTGGACTCCGCACACTGTAAGGTCCCTTCTAGTTCTAAATCTAAATCCCTTCAGGTTTGGACTAGAAATGAAAAGATATGGGATTGAAGTTCAACACGACCACTTAGTAACTTCAAGGTACAATCATTGGATTGGACTAGATCAGGGGTGGGGAACCTGCTCCCTGAAGGCCACATGTGGCCCTCTAGGTCCTCAAGCACAGCTCTTTGACTGAATCCAAACTTCACAGAATTTATTCTCTTAATAAAAAGATTTGTTCTGTAAAACTCAGACTCAGTCAAAAGGCTGCACCCAAGGACCTAGAAGGCCACATGTGGCTCAAGGCTACAGATTCCCCACCTCTGGACTAGATAAACTCCAGGGCAGTCTAGCGATGCAGTGGATAGAATGCCAGGCCTGTAGTCAAGAAGACCTGACTTCAAATTTGGCCTCAGATACTAGCTATGTGACCCTGGACAAGTCACTTAACTCTTATTTGTTCTAGTTTCTTCTTCTATAAAATAAGCTGGAGAAGGAATTGGCAAACCACTCCTGTATCTTTGCCAAGAAAACCCCAAATGGGGTCACAAAGAGTCAGACACAACTGAAAGGACCAAACAACAATGGATGAATTCTAAGATCACTTCCAGCTACAAATATATGACATTATGAATACCTTTCCTTCTTTCTTCTGGCAGAGTAAAGTTAATTAATGATAATAATGCTGGCGACTCTTAGAAGAACCCTTGGCTTTCAGTCATCCCTATCAAAGAAAATCTCTTTTTGCTCATTGAAGATATTTTCTTCAAAATTTCAAAAGATCCATGATTTCATCTCTGTGGGCTCTCCTTCTACCAATACAGAGGACAAACCCTCCCTCCTGAGCAGATGTTTTCATAAATTGCTATGGTCAAAAATATTCATCAACTGTTGCCAACTTTCTTGTGATTACCTATTTACAGAATCACAGAATTCTAGAATTGAAAGGGGCTTCAGAGGCCATCAAATGCATCTATTCCTGAAGTGTGCCCTCTATGACATGCCCACCCAGTGATTATCCAGCTTCTGCCTGACAACCTCCAAGGAAGGGGAACCCACAGTCCCAATTGTGAGAAAGTTTTCACTTACATCAATCTTAAATTTGTGCCTTTTCACTATCCACCCATTGCTTCTTCTATCTTCTGGAGACAAACACAATAACTCTAAACTCTCTTCCATGAGATAGATAGGCTGTCAAACACTGGAAGAAAGCGATAAGCCTTTTTGACTCAGTCCTCAGATGACAGACACACAAGCCATAATTGGTCTGGAACTTGAAATCTTTTCAACATCCCAAAACTAATAGGTTTTGGACTCTGCCAAAAAAGCTTTGAAGAAACCAGGGGCATTTCTATATCATCAGAGAAGGATTTTGGTGGATTCAATGAAAACAATTGCTCATAATAAATAACCAAATTCCTCAATAGCTCACAGTTACAAAAAACTGAAAAAAATATTTTCGTGTACTATCTCACCATGATTCTGTGAAAGCATGTAGGTGGGGGAATGGGAAATGGTGGTTTTCAGACCAATGCTTCAATTGTTTTAGGAAACTCTCCTCCAATGAAGATTGGCAACATTCTGAAATGTTTAGTCTTAGAGGGTTGAAGGCACTGAAAGGTTCAGCAATGTGTATGGAATCATATAGCAAGTGTGATCAGTGGTGGTGCTCCTGACTCTGACAACAGCTCTCTACGCACTAGGCCACTATTGCCTCTCTGTCCTTCATTGTTTCCTCCATTTTGCTTTGATTATCTCTCTTACAGATAAGACAACTGAGGTACAGGAAGGTTAAGTGATCTGGTCAAGATGACCCAGTTTATAATGGTTGGGATTAGAACTAGCCTGACTGTATCCTGTGACCTTTCCATTCATTCCATTATTCCTTCCATTATTCCTTTGCATGCACTTTACTGTGCAGCCACACTGGCCTTTTATTTTTTTGACCCTCACACATAATGACCCTCTATTTCTGTGCTTTTGCACTGGTTGCTCCCCATGTCGAGAATGCTCTCCCTCCTAATCTCTGCCTGACTTTCTGTCAGGTTCAGCTCAAATGCTACATCCTGCAAGAGGCCTTTCTCAGTTTTCTCAACTCATAGGGTCTTCCCTTCAAAGGTTCCCTTGGGACTACTTCAATGCATCTTGCGTGTATAGATTTATTTACATATTATCCCCCCTATTAGAATATAAGCTCCTTGTGGGCAGGGACTGATTTTTTGTTCGCTTTTTGCTTTGTATCCTCAGCACTTAGCACAGCTCCTGGCACTTCATAAATGTTTATTATGTGCTTGTTGATTGATCGCTTAACTCTTGATTTATTCATCAAACATTTACCACCCCACCATGCTGCCACACCCTACAGATGCCTTCTTTCCATTTAATTCTTCATGAGAAAGACTTAGGTCTAATTTGGGGCATGGCAGTGCACTTTCACATCTCCCCTGAAGTATAGATCGGGAAAATGTGAAGATACACATCAAAAAATTAATTAACATATTAATAGTGGTTACTGGCCAGGATTCCTGAATTCCAGAATCCAGGGCCTTTCCCCTCCTCTTGTATCCTTTGCTCCCCTGTCCCAACCATACTTACTCTTCCAAATATCAACTATAGATTACTCCTACTTCTGGCCTCCTTTAGTCTTCCTCTGCCACATCTGAATGAACCTAAAGAAAGTCACACAATCATGCTGGCTGAGTTATATCCTGTGCATCTGTGATGTAATCTCAAGGCAATACTTTTATTTCTCCCTAAAGGATTCTTTATCCCAATCACTAATAGTTGCTATTCCAGATATCTTTTCTCCTCAAATCTCCTATAGTGCCCCTTTGCTTTATCCTCACAAATAAGCCCCTTGCCCTATAATTTATTGGAAAAAATAGAGTCCATTCACTGTGAATTTCTCCTTTGTCCTTTCTCGACTTCTTACAGTCTCTAGTCTTTTTTTTTAGTCTAGTATCTAATGAGAAGGTGGTCCTTCTCACCACCTCTCCCAACCCTGAAGATGAGCACTTGATCCCATTCCTTCTTTCCTCTTCCAGAAATTACCCCCACTGACTTCCTCTCAATCTCCCTTATCAACCTCTCCCATCTACTGATTCTTCCCTTATCCCTAAAAACATGCTTGAGTCTCAACCATCCTTAAAAAAATCTTCATTAGACCCTACCACTTGCTCAAGCTATTAGACTTTCTCTCTCCTCCCTTTCTCAAACTCAAAAAAAAAAAAGATCTACATTTTATCACTTGTTGTCCTTCACATAATTTCTTTTCATTCCTTTGTAGTCTGCCCTCTCATCTCATCTGTCAAGTGAAACTGGTCCCTCCAAAATTACCAATGACTTTTTTTATTTGGCAAATGTGATGGCCTTTTCCTCATCCTCATCATTGTTCTTGATCTCTCTGCAGCATTTGACACTGTTGACCATTCCTTTCAGAGATCTCCTCTGAGAGATTTTATGGTATTTGCTTGCCCTCCTACTTGTCTGACCGCTCTCATTATCTTTTGCTGAATCACCTATCATGCATATATTGTGCTCTCTAATTATAACCATACCCAAGGCTCTGATGCTCCTATCCATTTACCAGCTTTTATCATTGGCCTTGTCCTAGGACATTTTTTAATTTCTGGGCCAAGCCAGCTTGTCCCAGAATAAGACCAAGTCATTGACTTACCAGATTTTGTGGCCTCCAGGGACTTCTCCAGAGTAACCTTATCCCAGAACAACATTCTCTTCATATCCTTCCTCCTCCCTGGGACTTCCTCAATCCATTGAAGATCCAGTATTGTTTTCTCCTGACCAGAGTTTGATAATCAAGCAATAAATAAATCAAGTATCTACTATATGTCTGACACTGTGCTAAGAGCTGGGGATATAAATAGAGGCACAAGATAACCCACGACATCAAGGAGCTTACAATCTAATGGGAGTGATAATGAGCAAACAAATATGTGCAAAGCAAGCTACAGACAAAATTAATAGGAAATAATTAACAGAAGAAAGTTACTAGGATTAAGAGGAGTTGGAGTAGACTTCCATACATGTACCTGCTGTGAGGCAAACCTCCCAGAGCCTCACAGGAGACAATATTACCACTTTCGACAAGGTTGGCCCTCAAAAGAGGTCTGTGAATAGTTTATTCACATCCCTCCTTCAGTGCACATCTCTCCAACCACTGATACTCTGCCTGGACTTAGTCTTCAGTGGCAATCATACTCCTTACCCCTTATAGACTTCCCATCCCAGTAATGCTGAACCCAGAGCTTCCAAAGTGCAAACTTATTCCCTGTAACTAACTGTCTGGTGCCTTAATTCCAGCTACCTCAATTGAATTATCCAAATATTGGGACTCCCAAATATGAGCAGTCCAGATTTGTCCACCCCTTTCGCTGTATCCTCTAGATAATGCCTGCCCCCTAATTACTAATTTCCTTTCATCTTAAATCTTTTTCTTTCTTGGACCTTCCATCTTCTGGCATGCATTAACATCCCATATACTCCTTAACTACTTTTTCCAGCCCTGGTTGCACTTAAATTCAAATTCCAGACTCACTGGGTGAGGTATTCCTTGCTCCCTACTGTCACATCCAGACTCCCAGACTTGAACATTACTTTATTGGATCAAAATATTATTTTATTGCTCCATATTACCCTATTCCCTATTGTTTCTAACCCTTAATCTTCACTGTGACTTCTAATGCTTCCATGTCTCATTTATTTTCCAGGCCCTCACCCCGTGTACTGGCTACACTCTCCTCCCTTTCCTATCTTTATCCCTTAAGGAACCAGTTCAACTCTATTCTATCGCCTGCTATTTAATACCACGTTCCTTTGTTCTACTGCTCATAGTGTCTTACCAGACCCCAATTCTGAGTTACTCCCATCATCCACCTCATAAAACTGAAACTGTTCTTTCCAAAGTTACCAATAATCTCTTAATTTCTGAACCTAATGGTCTTCTATCGGTCCTCATCCCTTTGACACTTCATTCATCAACTCCCCCTGAACCGACTGTTCTCTCTTTCTTCCATGACACTTCTCTGTCCTTGTTCTTCTCCTACCTTACTACTCCTTCTCTGCTTGCTTTGTTGATTCTTCATCCATATCACTCACATCATAAATGTCCCCAAAGTTCTGTTCTGGGCTTTCTTCTCTTTCCACTCTACACTTTCTCACTTGTTGATTTCATCAGCTTCCACTAGTTCAGTTATCATTTCTATTAAGATGAATAGAGTTCTCTGTGTGCATGACATACACACACATATATACACACTTTCACACACAGACACACAGGGCTCTATTCCTTACTCTATTCTCCCCAAGCTATTGTCCTGCATTACCAGCTACTTTTTAGATATCTCAACCCGGATGTCATGTAGGCACCTAAAAGTCAACATGTCAAAAGCACAGCCTACTCCCAAAACCTTGCCCCCTTCCCAACTTTCCTGAGTACTCTCAAGCGTTCCACATCCTTCTGATTACCCAGGCTCCCAAGGTTGGTATAGTCCTTAATTCTTCACTCACCCATCCCACATATCCAAATCCTATAATTTCTCTACTGTGTCTTTCATATATATCCACTACATAGATATACTTCTCCATTTACACAGGCACTGCCCTGGTTCAGGAACTTATCATCTTTCATCTGTATTATTGCAATAGTCTTCAAATTGGCCTCCCTACTTCTAGTCTCTGCCCAATCTAATCCAACCTCAACCCTGCAGCCACTGATATTCCTAAAATGTAGGCCTGACCATATTGCTCCCCTTCTCAACAAACTCCAGCAGCCCCCTATGATCAAATATAAATTTCTTTGTTTGGTTTGTAGTAAAGTTCTTCATAACCTAGCCCCATATTATCTTTTCAGTTTTCTTATACTTTACTCCATTTGTCACACAACACTCAATGACATAGATGCACTTGTTTACCCGCCATTGCTGTCTCCTATGCCTAGGAAACTCTCTCTTTTCATCTCCACCTTTTAGTGTCCCTGGCTTCCTTCAAGTCTCAGTTCAATTTCCTTCTTCTATAAGAGCCTTTCCTGATATCATCTGATGCTAGAGTCATTCCCTCTGAGATTACCTCCCACCTACTTCATGTGTGTGTCTATATACATGCATGTGTCTATACATATATAAATGCATGCACACTA